TCACATTTATATTCATATGCATGCTTGATCGAGTTAAAGAATATCTAAGGCTTACCCCTATCCATCTAGAGCAAGACTTGGGGACTTGAACCCACATCATTTAGCTTACCCAGCCTAAAGAGTCATCATCTTTGACTCTTCTCACATATATTTCCATCACCATAACCTTTGTAGCCAGCCTTAGTATCACATTCACACACTTCATTCACACATCCATATCCATATCATCCCTTCCTTTAAGAACCCTTTATCATGAAATCTTGTTTCGACATTGTGCATGTTTCATCATCTTTCAAGACAACATTCATTAGAAGAAACATTGTATACTTGTTTAGCTTATTGACCTGAGCAATGTTCATTGTTTCACGCATCGCATAATATGGTGAGCAACATTTATATATCAATGATTCGTAATCATACAAAGCATATCTTTCTTAGCTCCTTGACCTAAGCAACGTTCATTATGCAATAATCACTTCATCTATATACGGGCTTAGCTTCCAGACCTAAATGACATTCAAGATCGTTTCTTTACACCATATATGATTCTTAGCTCCATGACCTTAGTTCATTCATCTATCGTGTCACATGATGTAATTGTCCTTAGCCTCCTAGCCTAAGAACATGAATCATGCATACAATCCATGCGATTCATTTATCTTCCTCAAGGAGGAAGTTCAAAACTTCTTCCCTTTTTTATCTTTTTCTTTTGGGGAAGCTCAAAAACTTTTTCAAAATTTTTTCTCATCGAGGGAATTTTGTAAATAAAAGTTCAGTTTTCACGTCTTTATTTTTGGGAGAAAGTCGGTACCTTCCACTCATCTCATGACAAAAATGACGGGAATTTTTTACTTTTTGCATTGTTGATTGCTTGTGTCTGCTCATACATTCAAATCATACTTGTACACACACAATCAAAAGTCATACACATGTCCTGTCGTGTCAAGTCAAATCTTGGTCAAGTCAGTTGGTCAAGTCAGTTGGTCTAGTTTATCATAGTCTATACGAGTCCCTTGGCAAATTTTATTTTGCAGGTCTCAATTACAGCCCATGTTCGGGGACAAGCAGACCATCTATAGCCCACATCCGGGGACATGTGAACCAACTGCAGCCCACGTTTGGGGACAAACGAACCATTTACAGCCCACATGTGGGGATAAGCGGACCAACTACAGCCCACGTCCGGGGACAAGTGGACCATCTACAGCCCACGTTCGGGGAAAAGCGAACCATTTACAACCCACGTTCGGGGATAATCAAACCAGCATCATTTCATGGCGCAAGGTTCTCGATACACAGAGACTTGCAATGTAATCATCTTTCGATTTCCTCAAGCATGGAAAGTATTATCCGGTGGATTTCTTCAAGCATAGAAACCTGCCAAAATCATCTGTCAACTTTCCTCAAGCATGGAAAGTGTCATCCGAAGGGTTTCTTCAAGTATAGAAAACTGCCAAATTTATATGTCGACTTTCCTCAAGCATGGAAAGTATTATTCGGTGGATTTCTTCAAGCATAGAAAACCGCCAAATTCATATGTCGACTTTCCTCAAGCATGAAAAGTATCATCCGTTAGATTTCTTCAAGCATAGAAAGCTACCAAACTCATATGTCGGCTTTCCTCAAGCATTGAAAGCATTTCAACAAAACGTTATCCGATGGATTCCTTCAAACATAGGAAGTACCAAACTCATTTGTCACCGATACACTTGTGTCAAATAAGCATTCTATTCCTTTACTCTTTAATCTGTGGAACTAACATTTTTCTGCAAGGATCGGTGTATAAAGAGTGATTTAGGATCGCAGAACGTCTTAAATCATTCTCCGTCCCTATCGACTACTTTGACTATCGTTTTTTAAACTGACGTTTATACAAACTCAGTCAAAGTGGGGGCTTCTTTAGACACCTAAAAATGTCTCCCCAAAACCAAACCCGATGATGAACAAACTTTCACCGCCATTATTGGTCGGGTTTAGTATTTAATCTTGGAGTGCTTAAATCCATATTTCCATTTCATAAACCAACCCAACTTCTAGCCCATTTCCCCAAACCATAATTTATTTTCCTTTTTTCGTGCCTTTAAACCCAAAATAATTTATTTCGTGTCCTTTAAAATCATTCATTTTGTACCCTTTTTATAAAAACACTTAGTCCAGTTTATTTTGGTCCATAATCTGGGTCCAATGATTTAATAATTGGATGGGGCTTGAAAATATCTTTCCAACGATATATTATAAGCCCAAATCTAAGTTATAACGAATAAGTTATAGCCAAAATATTAAACTGAGCACAAACCGAACCTAAGTCTACCTTACCTACGACCCAATGATCCTGTGGAGGGTCCAAATTATTTAATCTCATTCCTAAACCAATTAGGATTAATTAGAAGCTTCTATAAGTTTCTAAAATATCTTAATTATCATTTTTGAAAACATAAGATTAAAGAGTTTGAAATTGAATAAAACTTTTATTTTTGAAAATCCTATTTCTATCCGAATTGAAAGACGTTCAAAGATAGTCAGATATGATTTTCGTTACTCATAGTTTTTATCCAAATTTTATATAGTTGGATAGCCCTTTAAATTATCTTTCCAATGATATATTATAATATCAATTCCGAGTTATAATGGAAAAGATATGAATGAAATATCAAACTCTATCCAAAACAGATACCGTCTCACTATTTCGTATATATCTTTTATTCTACAAAATATTTTAATCTTGTTCAAATAGGGTTAGGAATTATACTTGAAGAGATTTCCATCAATAACTTATTTATCTTATTCCGATTTTTGGATCAAAATATATGATAAAAACCAAACCGCAAAATCTACAGTCTATCGAGTTTTATTCCGATTTAATTCGGATCTTATCTTGGTTTTTGACCCTTCTTTTTTCTTTATAACTAGAGGTCATATCTCCCCTTTTTCAATTATCAACAAGATTGATCATCAAATCATTCTCTTCTCCCTCTTTAGCCTAAACACTAGCCTCCCTATTCTTCCATAATACTTCCCTTAAGCACTCCAAGGAGTTCATACAATACCCAAACTTCTATACATAAACCGAGGCGTGAAAGTTATAATTAATTGAGGGTTTGGACCAAATTAAATCTACATTTATTTAATTTAATTTTCATTTCATTTATATTTTTATTGAAGTTACTAACAATTTATTAATGATGTAGCGATTTAAAGGAACGCGCGGAATGTGAGTAATTAATTAATTTAATTACTCTTATTTTAGTTTTATATTGCTAGCATCATGATTAGGTTATTATTATTATTTGATTTGACTAACGTTATTATGGTTAAATTGCTTCCAATATTAATGTTTATTTTATTATATTTTTTATGATCACCATATTGCATGTTTAAAGGGAATATGTAATTGAAAATCATGCCATATAAGATAATTTGGACAACCGGTTTAGGTTCCTTTTTAATCTTGTTGTTAATCAAGTGATCACTAATATTTTCGAATTATATGTTGTATTAATATTAAACCAATTTAGCTTAATAATAGTTTGTAGCAAATTGAATCTTTGTTTGCATGCCTTTGAGATCACATGAATCATTTTTCACTATAAGAAACGAGTAGAGGCCAATACGGGCGAATGTGACTCCATGACTCACTTCGTACCATCATCCTCGATCCTTTTTTCGTGGTTCCGAACCATATGGAATTAGTAATCACATGGATTATGAATGGGGTATAACCTTCACGAGTCAATCGTTGTTGCCTATCGTTGTCCCTTAATCGTGGTTGCCTTTTATGATCCGTGAGTGGTTTACAAGTTCCTTAAAAACTTGTTGGCAGCTCCCTACTTTCCTTGTCCTTAATCGTATTATGTCAATTCTCACTTCCTATGAGTGCCAAGCATATTCACACATGCTTTAACGTAGGCGCACTTCGAGCGACGCCTACACTTAGATTCATACATGAGTCGGTTTTTTCAAGGCTTTTCATTAAATTACATATTATGAAAATTACATATTCAAAAAGCACATGATGAGGCAAAACTAACAAAATCCAATTTGATGGTGTGTTTTCTTGTATATTATCAATGTTACAATGTAGTTAAAATTAACACATTAGATTAGATTAGATTAGAACATATTAGAAAAATTCAGATCATACTACACCAAACAATCTAAACTAGGATTATTTACCTTATTTCAGGTGAAGATAACTAATACTCCATTCATAATCATCCAACTAGACTGTGACTCGGGCTTTGCCTCGAGTGATACTTTAATTAATTTCATTTTTATATTAAACGCTTAAAATTATTATAAATTTTTTTAACGTGGGTAAATTATAATAGAGTGATAACATAATTTATTTTACATTCTAATACATGTAACTTTATATATAAATTTGGATTAACAGAGCATGTGAATTAATTCTAACTAAGATTATAATACATATGGTTTCCATTCAATGAGGTTTGGGGTTTAAATATTTTTGCATGCATTTTTAGATACGATGAAGTAGCATGAACTTAGGACCTCTTCACATTAATTGAGCTGAATTGAACTAAACTGAACTGATTGGAGCTGAATTGAACTGAACTGATTGGAGCTTAATTGAACTGAACTAAACTGATTGGAGCTGAAATTGAACTGAATTGAAGTGAGCTGAAATGAATATTTTATGAGGAAAGGAAATCAATACTATATTCTAAAGTAATCACCATGAATATTCTAGAATTATACCTGTCACGTTTACATTAAAAAAATTTCTCGTCAAAAACTCTTTTTTTAATCATTTTCCTCTTAAAAAATAAAAAGATAATTGATGAAAAAACCTTATTCCAAATATATATATATATATATAGAATTGGGATCATGTGAGAACTTAGATCTATAATAGGAACTAAGAACTAATCCAAGTCGTCCATCGCGTTAGATCTGACGGTCTACACTTCACCCGCCTCATTAAGGGTACTTTCGTAATATCTACTGTTGGATGACCACCCTCTCTCTTCTTTGTACTTTCTCTCTCTACGTTCTAACTCTCTCTCTTCTTCTTACTTTCTCTCTCCTCGTGCAAATTCTCTCTTCTCACAATTTCTCTGATCTCTTCGCATGTCTTTAACTTTGCAAATCTGCATCTTCTTATCTTCACCCTTTGTTCAATCAAATTTGTGGCCAAGTAAGTTGATTTTATTTTCATTATCATTGCTTTCTTCAATTTTCGTTTTTTACATCAGTTTTTGCGATTTTGAGTGCGAAAAATAGGGTTTTACCAATTGTTAGTTAGTGGATGTATTAGGCATTATTTTTGGGGATTTCATTCAATTGGTTACTCCGTATTATTTTTGTGCATTAATAGTGAATTCGATTATCAAATTAGGTTTTCAATTTTTGATAAATACGAGCATAAAATTAGGTTTTGCTTATTTTTAATGATTTTATTTCAATTTACGGTTTATTTGCTTTAATTAGGTCTTCGATTGAAGTTATTCTATTCAGTTTTGTGTCATTGGTCATTAAAATTGATGGGGCTTTCACTTGATCTCGCTGAGGCTTAGGGTTAATGATGTACTAGTCTGATCTTGTAACATTGCTCATTCAATTAGCTATATTATCATGTGAAATTGCAGTAACTTCTTTGTGAATTATTGTGTTCTTAGGGTGCTATGATTATCAATACGATGATGAAAAAAACTAGGGTGTAATTTACTTTTGAGTTTATCTTATTTACTTTTGAGTTAGTCCTATTTACTTTTGAATTTATGTTTATGGATGTGTGGAATGTTGTTGTGTAGGGTTTTTGTTTGGTAGAAGCGGCAAAGGATATTGCAAGTTTTATTTGTTGTTTGGGCGTTGTCTGTATGATGAGCTATTTGTGGCCAGGAGCAGGGGTGAGTTTAGAAAACATACATTAGTATTCATTCTTACACTATTTTTTTTTTTAACTTTTGTTATATTTTTATTTACCTTAGAGTGATTTTTCTTTACTTTGATACACTATCTTACTTGCTCAACAGGTAGAGCGTTGTGCAAATGCACAAAGATGTGGGTTTGAATCCCACGTAGGTTCATTTGTGTAATGTGGCTACTAAACTCAATCTATACAAAGCTGGAGGTGGTGGCATTTTATGGTGTGATAAGGGTTCTTGCAATTAAAAACAGATGCAGAGGCTTTAGGGAAAATGCTGAGCTATCCTAACTCCTTTAGAGACCACGATCTAGAACATTATAAGGGATGTGTGGTTGAGTAGCAGAACAATTAACTTCGTTACTCACAAGCTAGCAGCTATTGTAAGGACTAAAGTTCAACTTGATGAAAGGGTGCTATTCCACTATCCCCTGTTGAGATCTTTGACAAGTATGTTGCTAAAATACCAGCAATCCCTATGGCTTAATCCTGATGATGACGGCTGCTCAACACCTTTTGCTCATCTTGTCTTTCTCTGTAGGTCTTTGCTGGCATTATGTTGGCTTTAATTTTTTGTTGCTTGGTTTATTTTTATGTCTTCCCTAAGTAGGAGGATACTGGTACTTTTAATCTCTTTGAACAATATTTTGTATAGGTTGGTTGTTGTCACCTTGATGTAATATACTAATATATAATCTATTTTCCTTTAGCATAAAAAAAAAAAAAAAAAAAAAAAAAGGTTTCTATGTTTGAAAATCTGATTCTAAATTTTCAGTTACTTTTGTTATCGTTTTATTTACTTTAAATATGAAAACCTTTACTATGACCTCATTCTTCTTTTATATATGATCAATCTTCATGTTTGTAGATTTTTGGCTCATTTTATAGAGAGTTGAAGGTCAAGATGTAGGGTACCCATGAAGATCGACAATTCATTACTTTGTGTCATTTGATTATACAACACTAATTTTTATTATTTTAATATTTACTTTTTAGTGTTTGTTATTTACTTCTAGGATATTTTGATATAGTTTTGATTTCTTGTCGAGCTATTCTGATTTATTTAAGAGATATTCTAATTTTGAATTATTTTGATTTACTTTTGAAATATTTTGATTTACTTTATAGTATTTTGCATCGACATATATATTGGAGGCATGTGTAACAAATTTCTTACCCTCTTTCAAAGTACAATCTCAAAAGAAATATTTTGATTTAATTTTGAGATAATTTAATTTACTTTTGATATATTTTATTTTACTTTTGAGTTTTTCTTTTTACTCTTGAGATGTATTAATTTACTATTTTGTATCAATTAACGACTTTAAAGTACCATTTTCTGAATTATGGTTATAAAAAAAAAAGGCGGAGTGATTTTATAAATTGCTTATTCATGTAACTTTTGATGTAGGATTTTATTTACTTTTGAGTAATTTATTTTATTTACTTTTGAATCCCACGTAGTTGCTGCCCTACCATGGCTTGTTACTGCAGCTGCTACTTCTGCCTTGCCAAGGCTGCTGCTGTAACTACTGCCCTTCCATCGCTCTTTACTCCTGTTACAAGGTAGCCATAGAGGCTTCCCATACCGACCTTCAGTTAGTTTCACTTCTAGAGCGAAGCTGAGCACTCAGGGCATAAGGGCCCCGCGGTGATTATTAACATGCGCTTGTTGTTGTTGTGCTACCTCTGCTCTACCTCCTGAATCTGCTATGCTACTTCTGCTCTACCGTTGCTGCTGTAAATGTTGGTCAAGAGTTCTTGAAGTTGAGCAAAACGGGAAGCTGTTGTGAGCATGAGTGCAGCTTGTGCACCATGGAAGCCTGTGAGGAGCAACAGAAGCATGAGCAGAGCCAGCTCTATAAGCAGCCATTAGATTTCCATATTACGTTAGTGCATTCATAGCAATATCCTGATTTCTCAAAATTAGTCTCAATTTTTTTTTCCCAAAGTCTAGTTTTATATTTTTATTAGATTTCGTTCTTCTCCTTTTTGTTTACTTTTGATATAGTTTTATTTACTTTTAATTTGAAAATCTCTACATCGAGCTCAATATATTTGTTTCTTATAATTTGACTCATCTTGTAAGGATAAGAAAGTCAAAGACTTAAAGTTTTGTGCTACAACAAAGTTTCCTTAGTCATTTACCATTTCAAGATAGTTTACTATTGTAGGTGTTGCTCGAAGTGCGCCTACGTTAAAACATGTGGGAATATGCTTGGCACTCATAGGAAGTGGGAATTGACATATACGATTAGGGACAAATAAAGTAGGGAGCCGCCAACAAGTTTTTAAGGAACTTGTAAACCGTTCACGGGTCATAAAAGGCAACTACGAATAAAGGGACATCGATAGGCAACAACGATTGACCCGTGAAGGTTACACCCCATTCATAATCCATGAGATTACTAACTCCATATGGTTTGAAACCATGAAAGGAGGATCGGGGATGATAGTACGAAGTGAGTAATGGAGCCACATTCGCCCGTATTGGCCTCTATTCGATTCTTATAGTGAAAAGTGATTCCTGCAATCTCAAAGGCATGCAAACAAAATATTCAATTTGCTCCAAAATATTATTAAGCTAAATTGGTTGAATATTAATGCAACACATTATTCTAACATATCGTGATCACTTCAATTAACAACAAGATTAAAAAGGAACCTAAACCGGTTGTCCAAATTATCTTATTAGGTGCGATTTTCAATTACATATTCCCTTTAAACATGCAATGTGGTGATCATAATAATAATAGAACAAAATTAATATTGGAAGCAATTTAGCAATAATTCCAACAATATAAAATCTTGAGAAAAAATAATTGAAATAAAAGGAACATGATTAGGGGATTTTGCTCCCACCAATCAGAATGCGCCAAGTGTCCCCCAGTTGGAACTGTCAGGGCTTTCCACGTGGCACGCGCTTATTCGTCCACCTTGGACCTATTATGTCATGACACGTGGCATACTCCATGCCTAATGGAGAAACCGGCCACCCAGGCCCAACTTCCGAGGGAAGCCCAATCAGCCCTAGGTTAACCTAAACCTAGGATTGGCACGTTTCCCAAGGTTATAAATACCTCCCTTAATCCTCATTAAGGGGGGATGACAGAAAAAAACACATTTATTACACACAGAGTTACAGGCTGATTACGCTAAAAACTCACACTAAACACTCTCACCTAGAGAGACCCAATCACTTTAATTTTCGCATTAATTACTCCTTAATCAAGTACTAACTTGACCGTTGGAGGCGGAGCTCCCACCACCAGGAGTCTCCGTTGTTTTGCAGGTACAGGCGTCCGGTTCCAGTTTCGGAATTGTAACTCTCCCGCAGGACATCAGAAAACCCCGAAACATTTGGCGCCGTCTGTGGGGAGAGTACTTCTGAGATGGCATCCAAGTCTGTACCGACTCCTGAAGAGAGGCGTCCCCTAGACGACCCTCAAGTACAGTCGGACCACGATACTGAGGATGAACTTGAAGTTGAAGCTCACACCGCTTCAGACGGGACCCTAAGGGCCTGACGTACCCATCATACCGAAAGGAGGGAACGGGAACATCTTCATACAGGAAGCGAGCCAGCAGGCGCACCGCCTGTTCGGCAACAGCCGACTGATGGATCTGCTCCCATCACAAGGAACGAACTCATGACCTTCATGAGGGACTTCAAGGGAGAGATTCAAGAGTTGATCAACAAGAAGCCGCCTGCTCTGGTCAAGGAGCAGTCGGCTAAGAAACCCTCCACTTCACTGAAGAGGAAGCCAGTTCAAGGGCGAGAGGCGACTCCTCATCCTAAATCTAGGAAGCGGGAGCCACCTGCCCTTGATTTCACAAAATTCCATTTTCCTACAGGAAATAGGAAACCTGTTCGTCATATTCAGGCGGACGGGTCGAAGCAAACATTCACAGACGCTCGGCTACTGCTAGAGCAGAAGAAGAGTGACCGATTGTCAGAGTCGGCCTCTACTTCAAACTTTCAAGACAGTCTGCGAAATGCCTCGATGAGGCATACTCAGTCGTATCATGAGAGTCAGTCAGGCGGCACCTCCCGTCAGTCCGGCTTTCATAGCGACCAGGCGGTACCAAACTTACCATTTGTGCCGCAACAACAGTATTTTTTGCAGCCACCTCCGTTTGGTGGACCTGCAGCAAAAAACGTCCAACCTATGGACTGGCAGCTACGGTTGCTTAGACTTGGTGAACAGCCGTCGGCCTTCTCCAAGGAAATTACTGAAGCCGCTCAGCCGGCCAAAGTGAAAAATGTATTAGTAGGCGCCTATGACGGCACTACTAACCCAAAAGACCATCTTATGGCCTTCACCAACCTGATGTACCTTCAAGGGTTGGATGATCCCACCTGGTGCAAGTGTTTCCCAGCGACTCTCAAAGGAATCGCACAACAATGGTTCGGCAACCTGCTGACTGGTTGTGTAAATAACTTCAGGACGCTTGCTTACTTATTCACCTCCAACTTCGCCATGAACATCCCTGCGAAGAAAACGACCCTTGATTTAGGAACAATTCAGCAGGGCGAGAAGGAGGGGCTTCGTTCTTACATCAGGCGTTTTAACCTGATGAGAATACAGATTCAAGGGTTACCGGATGAGGTAGCCTATACTGACTTTTTCAGAGGTCTCAAGGACGGGTCGACCTTCAAATTTGACTTGGTCCGAAAGAGGGTGGCGACTCTTCAAGAGGCCTTGATTGAAGCGGAAGCCTATATATAGGCGACTGATCTTTGTACGGTAAAACAGTCGGACGGGAAAAGGTTCGACAAAAGAGAAGGACGACAGAAACAGTCGTCCAACAAAGATGAGAAGAGAAAAGGGGTCTGGGTGGCTGATTCCTCCAAACAGCCGGCCTAGAAAAAGAAAAAAGAATTCAAACCATACTCCCCAAAGTATGCGTTTAACAAGGATAACCAGTTTATCCTAAAAGAAATCAAGGGACGGATCTCAATTGAGAAGTCGGTCCCCATGAAAGGTTCTGCAAACAACCGGAACCAAGATAAATTTTGTGCTTATCATGATGATGTTGGTCATCACACCAATGACTGCATCAGTCTCATGCGGTATCTGGACCGCCTGGCTGAGCAAGGTGATCTTGACACTTATGTCAAGAAATCCACGGGGAACACTTCCTCAAAAAAGCAGTCGGCCAAAAAGAATCAACAGGCCGACAGCTCCGACACAGATGATGCAGTCGTCTACACCATTGCAGGCGGCTTCTCAGGAGGCGGCCCCACTATTAGGGGCAACAAAGACAATATCAGGCGGTTAGATGTAAATTCCGTTCACCAAGAACGGTCGTCCAAATATTCATTTCCTGAGATTGTCATCACTGAAGAAGATCTAGGAGGGGTAAGAGGGCCGCATGACGACCCTATCGTTATTGAATGTAAAGTGGCCAACCAGAGAGTTGGCCGAATCCTCATAGATACCGGAAGCTCCTCAGATCTCATCAGTAGCAAATGTCTATCGAAACTAAAATATCAAACTGATTGCATACATCCGGCCTCCCACCCTTTAGTAGGGTTTGGAGGAGGAGTCGTCCACCCAGTGGGACGAGTGGATTTACCCATCCGTCTGGGCGAAAAAGGGGAAGGACGACACATGGTAGTCTGTTTCCTGGTAGTAGAAGAACTCTCGGCCTACAACATGATTCTGGGACGACCAACCCTGAATAATTCCAAGGCTGTTATAATCCCATCTCTTATGTTGCTCAAGTTTGAGACGGATAATGGAACAGTCGGCTCCCTAAGGGGAGATCAGAGGATGGCCCGAGAGTGCTATCTCTCGGATGTCAAGCCCACTGTTATGG